ATTATTATAAAAACTTGTATACATCACAAATTGATCCATCTAGCTCTAACATCGATGTATTTCTGAACAATATAGATTTTCCAAGGTTAGATGATGAACAGATCAGGGCTCTGGATTCACCTGTTTCAATGGCTGAACTCCAGGAAGCTCTCTTACATATGCCACATAATAAAGCCCCTGGGCCAGATGGTTTTCCTGCTGAATTCTATAAGGAATTCTGGGAAATACTTGCGCTCACATTCTATAGGAAGGTTGTGCAAATTAGGGGTACTTGCATGTTGCCTCCAACAATGAAATCTGCTAATATCAGCCTGCTCCTTAAACCAGACAAAGACCCCACACTCCCGTCCAGTTATCGCCCAATATCACTTATTAACGCAGATCTTAAAATCATCTGCAAAACCCTAGCAAGAAGGCTAGAGAAGGTCACTCCTGGTATAATGCACTCTGACCAAACAGGATTTATTAAGGGCAGGCACTCCACCAACAATACACGCAGGCTACTTAACGTAATAGACTATGCCACTATTCATAACCTGGAAACTACAGTTGTTTCTTTAGATGCAGAGAAAGCATTTGACAGAGTAAATTGGAAATTTCTATTCGCTACTTTATATAAATTTGGATTTAGATTTAGGGGGGTGCTTGTGGTGGGTTTCGGTCCGGTGGTTAACGTGTGGTGTGGGTCACGGTGTAGCTGGCGTGGGGGATGGGGGCGGTTTGCGCCGGCTGGCATCTCTCCTGTGCAGCGCATTACTTGGCTGTTGTGTGCCGCTAGTTAGATTGGTAGCGGGGTAGTGTTGGTTGGCTCACCTGTAGGTCGTGATTGGCTTGCGTGCTTGTCGGGGGTTGGGGGCATCAGGTGCGGGCCTGGACTGGGCTGGTGTGCGGCTCTGTCCTGTGTGCATGCTGTGCATCCTGATAATTGTATTTCGGTTCTCTGAGGTGTCTGGCGACGTTGTTGGAGGGGTGGGGGACCGGGAAGAAGGGGTTGACGGGGTGGGTTGTGGGTGCGGGCTGGTCCTTTTTGAGCTGGTTGGGGGGTGTCTCCTCTGGATTTTAGTGCCCGGACTGGATGCTTGGTGGTTGTGCGGGGATCCTGTGTGGGGAGGGATTGTGCTTTGGGATTTGTCAATGGTTGCTTTGCGGTTGCGTCGTGGCCCTCTGGATTGTGGTCGTGTTGAGTCCTAGGGGCTGGATGCATCTGCTGACTCCCTAGGGCTGAGGGGCTGTTGCTGCTGTCGCAGGGTGATTGCTGTCTCTTTTCTCTCGTTTACGGTGGGGGTTGTGTGTGTGGGATGCTTCGCTGCTAGGGAGGGAAGGGCGCGGGGGTGGGGGTCTTCTGGCCTGACCTAGCCTGAGTGACATTGCCTCCTGGGTGTGGGCGGACCTTCGGGTCTGGGCCGTTGGGCCGTTCTGTCCTTGGGCGGGGTCCTTGCTGCTCTGGACCTGCTCCCTTGTAGGGGGGGGGGGGCAGCTCCGATGGCCTGGTGGTTCTCGGAGTGCACCTGATTGTGTGGGAACGGTGAGGTGGAGGGGTGGCAGTGGGGCTGCCGGAGGGGCGAGGGCGACTTTGGGTTGGGGCTGCACTGACCTGCCTCGGGGGTGTGTGGGGGTCTGGGACTCGGGGCTTTGGAGCCTCTGGGTCTGGGGCGGGTCTGCGTGCTGGGGGTGCTGGGCGGGGTTGTCGCTGACTCTGGGGTGCTGCCGGTGCTAGAGGGGCTCTTGCTATAAGCCCTGGGCTGGAGGGACCTGGCGTCCTCCTGCTTAGGGGGGTGGGGGACGGGACTGAATGAATGATGGGGCCAGTCAGGAATCTGGTCCCAGTGAGGAGGACCATTCTAGCCTCCCTATGACCTCCTTCACTTTTCCCCCTTTGGTCATGTCTCACAACATACACCCTTAGGACTCTGGGGGGCGGGCAGGCTGCAGGGCGTTTGGTGGGTGGGGCTGCTTTATTGCGGCCTTGCCCTTCTTCCTCCCCCATTGGCCGCCCCTCAATTTTAATTACACATTAGACACAGAGGGCTTGGGGGTTGGGACCCTGACAGTTGTGGGGTGCCTGTGTCACAACTACCCTCCAATTTTAACTGCACCTTAGTTACCTAACTATTGGCTACTGGGGTTCTTGCCTGCCTCTTGCTGGGGTAAGTGTGGCACAGTCGTGGCATCCCACTCTCACTAACAACTACATTCTTTAACAGGCTTATGCGTAGACACAGGAACACACACACACATACAGACACATTCACCCACACGCACACAGACACACACACAGTCTCACACATAGACACAAACAAATTTAGGTTGTCCCTGGTAGAATTATTCCTGATGCTTTTCTTTCAGTTACTTATTTAAATTAATTGTTATTATTCCAGTTCTCGTGGCTGTGCTGTGTTGCTTATTTAGTGTGCTGGACTGTTTCTTGTTTTAATTTTTCTCTTAGTTGTCATACTATGTCAGCTGTTTATTGCTGCTGTTCGGCTGGTTGTCTTTTACTATTATTATTTTTTTTATTCTCCTCTCTGTTCTATTGCAGGTTTCGTTGCTTTCTGCAATTGGTGTTTCCCACTGCTTTTCCCTGTTGTCCCCACCTTCCATCCCCCTTCTCTTACAGGTCTTGTCCTTTCTCTGTGCTGTCTGTTTGTGCCCCCCCATCCCCGTGTCTGCCCCCCTGTCCGGCCCGGTGACAAATTAATACATAATTAAATAAATAATAAAACAGACAAAGGAGTATATTAATACTCTCTTGTTAAAGTAAAATCTGTCTGGCACAATATGGTATCCAGGTCATCATACTCTATACCAGGCTGCTGGGCAGGACAGGTTAGAAAAAAACAAATGCCCTTCTAGAAGAATGGTCCAAAAGTCCAATGACACACACACACACACACACACACACACACACACACAGCTGATTACCAACAGTATAGTAAGGAAAATCTAGTATTTGCAGGTGTTGTATCATTCTTTTTTTACATATATATTGATTACATTAACAAGATTTTTATGTGAAATTTTATAATAAAACTCAATTAAAAGCAGCATTCTACTATAAATTTTAATCCTGATTATTTGTATAATAGCAGTGTTCAACTATATTTAAAGGTAATTTAATTGTATATGTTCTTAATTAAACAATAAAAGCCCCAAAAATGTAACATGATTTTAATAATATGATGATAATGATAAGTTACAGACTTGTCATTATGGAATATTACCGTATTTTTACGAGTGGGTTATTTACTGTTATTTTTGTGGTATTTTTCTGGCGCCCCAGCTTCCGGAATATTTACGTATTTTTACAAGTGGGTTATTTACTGTTATTTTACAGTATTTGTCTGGCGCCCCAGCTGCCAGAATATTTCCGCTCTTTTACGAGTTAGTTATTTACTGTTATGTAACGGTATTTTTATGGCGCCCCAGCTGCCAGAATATTTCCGTTTTTTCACTTCTTTTTTTTTAACAGTGTATATAATTTGCTTTGTAGCATAAAGGGAACTACAAACTCCATCTCATTTTACATCCCTGTTGTAATATGATTTGTACCTTCAGCTTCAGTTCTTCATAACTACACATACTTTTCTTCTTATCCCTAATTTAAGGAGATAAAACATTAAAGCAGCATTGTGAATATGAACAGAATGTTTATCTGTATAACTTTGTTTTTTTATAAACTTGTTTGGACAATTATGGACATATCTGTCTATCTCTGGAAAACAAAGCACTATAAATTATAATCCCTGCATGATAAACCTCTCACCATCTTTGACTGTAAGTCAGGACCTCAGTGTCAAGATCATTTTATGGAGGGAAAAGTACCCTGTAATGCCCACAGAGCTGGCGTACTGTCAGTCCTTTTTGTTTTTCCCAACATCTTGTTGCCAGACCTACCTCACAGTCCTCAGGCTTTGCCATGTACTGTGTTCTGCATCATCTGCTTCCTCATAAACACGAAGCGAACTGCGCTGCAGAAAACGCATCAAACAAACAGGTGTGAATATTTTTCTCCTATCTAAGTCTAAAAGTATCTTATATTAGCAAAGTAATGAAGCAATTTGGTTTCTGTCCAGAGTTGTATAAAGATGTTCTGGTGTGTATTGGTTTAAATAATTTAGAAAAATGGCACGTGTATTAACCCAGCACCGCAACAAAATGTTGATATGCAATGATAGAGGCAATTTACTTTAAATGTACAACCATTTGAAGCTATTAACGTCTTTGAGTTGATGTCAACCAAGTTACATTAAAGGGATTCAGCCAAAATCTGGATTTGTAGATGTCATCACTGCAAATGTGAACAATACAGTTGAGTTTCAGTTCATGTTCATATCAAACAAAACTTTCACTGGCTAAGCTTTCAACAAACCCTCTCACAAGAAGAAAGAAACAGCCAAAATGACATGAGCGTGTCCTTAAGTAATGCATTTGATGTCTTTTATACCTTGTTTTGTTTTATCTACCACGTATAAGATGACTTAAAGAATCCAAACCATTCTGTTTTGGATCTGGATCTTCATCCTCCAGGGGAATCAGCCTCACCTCTCCTCTCTTTCTCTTGCCCTTATCTGCATGTTCTCCTTGTCTCTCTTGCTCCCTCAATGTGTGTCTCTTCCTTTCTTCTCCCTGAATGCTGTGATTTAGCTTTGCCTCTAGTGTGTTTGTGTAGTCGGTCCTCTTCCAGGTCTCTATGGTGGAGCGGAGGTGGTGTGGCTCAGGTCCTGATCTGTTTGAGGATAACTGAAAGTGCTTGACGTCCTCGTGGATCCAGGTTCCTAATTTATGTTTGCAATCTACAATTTTGTCACCCTAATTGTCCGTACTGTAGTTTTACTGTTGGTCTATTCTGTACGCACATCTGTTTCCGCTTTAAAAGGTTTTCTTAGAGGAGTTTTACCTCAATTGAATTGAGGGTCTTGTATGCTGTACAGATTGTAAAGCCTCTTGAGGCAAATTGTGATTTGTCATATTGTCATGTATATAAATAAAATTAACTTGACTGTTTTGTAATTCATTTATTTAATACATTTTTGTTCAGTGATTAATCCCTTGTAACGTATAAAAAACAGTTAGTAAAATAAACATTGCATGTATGTATGTAAATCACATGTTTGAAGGCCTCATAGGACATAAATCAACAACAATACCAACGAAAGCACACACACGCCTAATATTTATTACAAAAACGTGTGTCTGATTAAGTTTGGCTGTGTGAGAACGTCACGCCATTTTAGACGATACCTTTTCATGAAGTTTAACTATTGTGTATGGTTTCACTGATGTTCATGAAAACCTGAATCGTAGCTTCTTATACACATGCGTTGACACATTTATATTACATATTATATTGAAGACCTTTATGTTTTTGAGCAAAATGAAAATTTAAAGTAGCAGGAGGCACAACAAAATCTTTAAATTTCTGCATGACGTACTTTTTCCTTTCCTTACAACATCAATACTAATAAAAAAAATAAAGCTGTTTATTGCTTTCTGCTCTTTCTGTATGTGTTTTTTGGTTGTTTTCTGGTTAAACCCTGCTGGCCGTGCTCAGGCGGAGAGGTTGTGGATTCTGTAAGGCAGCAGGCTGGTCAGTGGGGCGAAGGGAGGAGGGTTGGACTCCGTGTGAGGAGTCATTGATGAAGGAAAACTCTGTGAGGCAGCTGTACCTTCAGCTGGAGGGAAATACATCGAGGCCCCCTGCATGAGCAGGACAGGACATAGGAAAGAGAGAAATAGAGGATGGAAACAAAGAAAGAAATTGACCACAGAATTCAAGTTCTTTTCTTTTTGTGTATTAAACACTGTATGTTGTGATGATCTACTTACAAGCGTTTTACAAGCTTTCAAAAACACCTCGCTATTTCTGTTTTAGGTCATTAATAAACTTTCACTCTCTACTTTTATGTTTCTATTGATGTGAATTCCATTAAACAGCCCTGTTGAGGATTATAAAAACTGGTTTATTGTTCTGATGAAAATAAAACATTCCTGGTGGTAAACACGTAGGCCTAGCTTTATTGCACAGACTGAAATGCAACAGCCGAATAAGTTGATCAAATGTGGGTGGTCAAGTTTGGAGCCCTCACCAGTCTTTTTCCACCTTCATTTTTTATCTTTTTTGGAAATGTTTTATGCACCCTGCGGTAGAACATTACAGAAATGTATGTGTAACTGCTAAATCGCTGTTAAATCATCTGTTGAATAACTCAAAAGGGTTGTTACCCTGTTTGGCATGAGAACGGTTCAGTAGTAAAGATTAAAAGTGTTTCTTTATTAGACACACCCTGCGGAGATTTAATTTAAACAACGACAAAAAAAGATTTTACTTTCACTTTTTGTTTCTTCTTCATTGTGTGTGTCCTTAAAGGGAGACACTACAGGAATTGTCTACAGAGTCAAATAGACAAAGTTTAATGTACTAAAGAAATATGTTGTTGTTATTAAGAATTCAGTCACTAATAATTACAATTATGATTGTATTTATGATCTGATCTCATGCTGCACACAGTATCTTTTTTGATCAAGCATCATTGTGTCTCCTGTGGCTGCTTCACAATAGATGTAGCGCCTTGTTTTGCCAGTTAAATGCATTTAATATGAAGCAGCAGCAGTAGGAAACGTTGGCTTCGCATAAGCAGCAACTTTATACAGCTCTGATACAGCGTCCAGCAAGGGAACGGTAAACAGTGAGGCCGATAATCAGTCATAAAATTACAGACAGTAATACTGGATTACACGCTGCATCATTTCCTGTGAATCCCTTGTGTACAATTAGTTAATTACTGAATGGAAATACAATAATAAATAATAATAATAATAAGAAGAATACATCTTATTTATATAGCGCTTTAAAAGGTTCTTAAAGGCACTTACATGGTACAAAACAAGATCTGCACCCGCAGACAAACACATGATAGGCAACACTGGGTCCTGCTCATCCAAACTTTACCCTCCAGCACAACTAGTGGTAAAAACACTCAACAGGGTACCTCTAAAGAATGCTTTGCTGTTTTGAGGTCAATCGAGGACAAACATGCAACATGATTTGCATGTAAATACCCCTAATTATGTAAATCAAGCTGACAGGGAAAACATCCTGAAGTGTGATTCTGGAAACAGTGAGACATTAATGTGACCACTGAAGTTCATGTTCATACCAGAACCAGCTGCCTGTGTTTAGACACATATTTCCACCTGCCTTTAAATTTAAAATTTAAATGTGTAAAGCCTTTTGTATGTCAGTTAGCATTGTGACTACAGAGAAAAGAGATTCTGGGTAGTGATGGTGCATACTGAATGTTTTAACTAGATTCATGTGGGGTTTGTTTTAACAGCAATGAACCAAACGCCTCAAGAAACATGTCCTAATGCAGCACCAACATTCACTCATAAACCAAAGAACAGGATGAATGAAACCTTTGATTTACACCAAAAACAACACAAAATATATATCACTCACTCACTACAATAACTACAACTGTAGTCATATAAACTCTAATTATTGAAAAGGTATTATTATTTTGATTTCAGTGACCTTCATGAAATAGACTAGAAAAAACAGACCAAATATTTCTAAAGCTATACTAAACCGACTTTAGTTTCTATCAACTAAATATGATGAAATTACTAAAATGTATCTAAAACTAATACAGTTCTATATTAAAACAGATGCCAAAACTACCTGAGGATAACTAGGATATTTACATAAGTACCACAATTTAAAGGATACAAACTACTCAATTCCTAAATTCAAGATATCTTGTATCCCATCAAGTCTTGTTTCACTTTATAGGTATTTAAGCAACTGACTAGTGTCCATTAAATGGTTTCTTTTGATGTTTCTTTTGAAGTTTTTGTGACAGTTTGTAACAAGGAACAAGGCTCATGGGAATCATTTGAACCCCGTTCTGAATTGAAACGCACAGAGAAATCAGTAGGATACTTGGTTATATAGCCTACATGGTGTTCATCAACCAACAGTCAACACTCTAAGGCAGCGGTTCCCAAACTTTTTAGGCAACGCACCCCCTTATACATCTTGACCGGGTTGCTACACCCCAAAAAAACCCTCTCTCTCTAGGTTGGCTTACACACACACACACACACACACACACACACACACACACACACACACACACACACACACACACACACACACACACACATATATATGTGCAATAAACATCAAAGATGACAAGCAGTGCAGTGTCCATGTTACACCAGTGTGAACATACCTGGGGTTTCACTCAGTGACACTCCTGAAAGTGATGGCTTTTAAATCAGTCACTCTCCCCTTACCCACTCACTGCGCTAAACACATCCGTCTTCTCTGTTTTTTCACTGCAACTCTGCATCGTGATGTAACGTTATATTTATTACTTTAAAAAGTAACAGTGGCAGTAAAACTTTTTCTCATAATGTGATGGTTAAACTTTGCAATCAATCCACATTTCTTCTGCGTGCCGAACCGTTGGGGGGTATTTTCATGACAAAAAAAACCTTTCCAAACATCTCCCCTCTCTTTTCTCACAAATCTCACCCTGTGAATAGCCTCATAAACAGATACCATGAACAAAAAGAGGATCCATATGAGGATTTGTAAGTAGCCTACAGCGCTGGTTGGCTCAGCCAAGCTCGCGCACCACACTTTGGGAATCACTGCTCTAAGGGATGTTTATTGGGTGGATGTAGGGTGTAGATGAGGAGGTTTGTGTCAGTTTCGTGACTGTTAAGATGATTAGTCTCAAGGGCGGAGGTGAAGACAAGAGAGATCAAAAATGAGGAGACAGCGTTGACCGCATACTGACTGGGTGGAGCTGGCCAACTGTGTGAGTGTTGGCGTCCATCAGCAGAGGAGCTGTAGGAGAAGACGCTGTGCTCTCAGAGGGCTCAGGAGGGCTCCTGCTCCTCTGACACAAACAAAGAGAAACACACACACACACACACACACACACACACGATATTATTGCAAGTGCAGTGTGCACACGTGAAAACACTAAAACAGTCACATTCAGCCATTACAAGTGAATGATATAGATGATTAAGATGGTGGTTTTGGCCACGATCATGGAAAGTATGTACATGTAAAGTCAGCTCAGGATATCTTATTTAGAAATTGAATGTCTCACCTCCCACAATGATAACAGGTATGACTGAAATCTATGCAAATCTACATGTGATCCAATAATTTGGATAACTGAAAACTGAAGGGAGACAACTTCAATCAGTTCACTCAGATAGACTTATAGGTCATGGAACTGGCTATATCCTGTCTAACATTGTACAGTTAGATTTGGCAGAAAAGGCTCTTTGAGGGCAGAATCCAAGCGGTAACAAGATTCTGCTGGAAGAAATGATCCTTATGAAACACACACATGACTAAAGTTTCTTTAAAGAACATCCATAGTTATTACCTATTAAGAGTTAAAAACCTAGTTAATCTGCTTCATCAGGACTTTGTGTGTGGTTTGATCAGTGATAGTGGCCTTGCAACATAAGCAAACCCTGCAATAATTTAATTTAAATGTCGCTAAATCTTGATTGGTGGACAAACATCACCTTTTCCAAGGATTTCATTGCTCATAGCAAGAAGCATATTGAGAAAATATGTTTCCAGGGCCTTTAAAACATCAAAGCCAAAAATTTGCCCTTAAAATGTAATTTCTGTCTTTTTCAACCTGTTTTTGTGGCTATGTGACCAACTGGAACAACATTTGACAACAAACTGACAACATTGTGGTAATGATCCCTACAGAGACAGACCTTTTTTAAAGAGTAGGATCCTTTTCATTTAAACAGAAACAGTCATTGAAAAGCCACCACACTCGTTTTACCTCGCAGCACCAACAACTCACAACTGATATTTTTGTCAAAGGAATCTGGTAGCTGTGATAGTCCGGTTGTAACGCAAGCGCTGCACACCTGCATAAATATGACTAGACACTACTAGTCAGCTGATGGTGTAGAGTAAATGAAACCAATTGAGGCCAACCAGCTAACACTAAGCTCCATCTGTTAAATGTGTGATGATGCTGAAAACTTACACATTATTCTGCATCCTAGCTGCTTTAGCTCTGTTTCGTGATGAAAAAAAGAAATCAAGCTTTGATGCAAGATTATTTGATAACTCAAATGAAGTGGAGTCGCTTCAATTTTTCGATGTTATTAGCCACACTTATCACTCGGTGCACACAGTTAGTGACCAAGCATCTTTTTCATAATGCAGCATACACTGTTCCATGCAAAAATCTGTTTTTGTCTCCATTTGGGTGGTCTGTCTGCAGCACATTTGAGGTTGAGGTTAGATCCAAAACTGCTGGGAGGCTACAAATCTATAACTTTAAAAAACTGTTAGCTTCCCTGTCTTTTCTGTAATAGAATATCAGCACAATAAAACATATACAACATCTGCCAAACAATTAATGTAAACATATTTACATGACAACTAATCATCTCGTAAGTTATGCAGCAAATATTGGACGGACGATTCCCGATAATAATTTGTCACTATACAGATCTGGAAACGCCTGGGACTCTAAAATTAAAAGGGAGAGTCAGCAAGTGACAGAAAGTATTGAATCATATTAAATTTAAGAACATGTGGAGGAAAGTCTGAATGCATTCCTCCAGTGAAAAAACACACTAACAACTGATTTAAAGATAACTAAAAGAACTATGAGTGTTCGGGGAGTCTAATTGCTAAATTGTTGGAGATAATGTTGTTTACAGAAATGAAACTTTCTGCATGATATAATGGAAAGATAGTAGTTCTGGCAGCATGCCGTGAAGGATGACGAGAGGCTATATATGTGGTCTGTTGGCCACACAGCTTAGGCTCACTAAGGCCAAATCAGCTCCATCTCTGGCAGTACAAAGCTCAATGAACTCTTCATAGACCACAGACAAGCTGAATCTTTGTTGTTTTCAGTAGGCAGGCTTGACAGTGGAAGCCAAATGTTTTGTTGACCCTAGTTTTTGTCCCTGTAATGAACACTAAAATCTCCTTTCAAACTGAAAAACCACAGTAACATGATGAACATGCAAAGCATATTTCAACATAAAAAACTAGAGAAGATGGTTCTTTAGGCAGAATTTCGTGGGAAATGTGTCTTTGACTTTGACTTTACAAGAGGAAGCTGCAGGAGGAGGAGAGAAGGAATGCTTTGATACATCTCACTGATGGATGGGGGCATAGCATGCAGAGACAGTCCTGGTTAACACTGCTGATAACTAAAAGTCCATATTCTTACTGCATGGAGCTGGAGGAGTGTCAGGAAAGACAGAGCTCTGGCTGCAACAGCAACGGGGAAAAACATGCACTACAAGTACATGATCTCGATAAGCATTTCTCATTCTGCCGGCTGTAATGAGAGGGCGATGATCATGTTTAGAAACCTTTAGGAATAAAAAAGCCATTGGATAGTGCTGTGTTACTGCATTATTCACCTTTATTGTGTATTGTGTTGTTCTTGCAGCAAAATGAATTTATTTTTGTGGGGAAATAAAGGTCTGAAGTGAACTGGACATAACTGTGGATAGCTTTAAAGCCACACAGGCTTCAGTCTATTGCAGATTACATTTTTGAGCTTATGTCTTTCTGTTTTTTTCTAAAAGACCTAAGGAACTTGGTGGGACCAAGGCGAGCACGCAAACCGCTGCCCTGCTAAAACTAATGCGTTGTTGTAACAAAACAGGATTTGGACAGATGTGGACTTGAATGCATATGTGAACCTATTACCAGTCTAGCGTTTCTGATTTTGCAGTGATTGTTCAACCACAGTATGTGAGACTCTTTAACATTCACACTCTCATGCTTAGTATAGCAGACTAATTTTCTTTCCCTCAAATGCGTATGTGGTGTAGAAATCATCTGGCTGAATGCTGGTATGCTGTTGAAGGAGCACCACATTATACAAATTAGATGTAGCTTCAACCGAAGACCTTGTCAAGGATTAGGAACAATCTCTGGCTGCACACTGTGTTTCCACAAAAGGATTACATAACTGAGCCTGAACATTCCTACTCCTTAGTGCTCAATTGTAGCCATTTAAAGAGGTCATTTTAATGAAATCACTTATTAATAAAACACTTTTTTACTTCCTTTTTGTCAATGGGCTCTAAACTCACTTAGAAATGAACCACACGCATGTCTTCTCTGTTGCTTGGAACAGCCACTTTAATGTGAAGGTATCGGGTCGTGATGTAGCCCTGTGCGCGCTTCAGAGCCTCTCTCAGACTAAACAGACAACACCGCAGCTAACGAAATGCAGTCCAGTAACACGTTATGTGCTGAAGCCCATCAGACCGGCGCAGGACAACACAGTGAAAGACCCATTCCCTACAGGAACAGGGCCTACTTACTGCGGTATAACTGTGGCAACAATCTCATTATAATATTCAGGCTAGCTCACTAACCATTTCGTTATCATCCAATATATTTAGCTGTGCTGACATTGCTGAGCCTCCAGTGAAAGATAAACAAATAGTAATTAGGTTAGCTGTAGTGGGTAGTTACTTAGTTTACTAAAAAGCAGCAGGCGAGCTATCACCAATGTATCACATCAGCTAAATGCAGTCAATGTAATGACCATGGATTACTTCAACCTCAAGCTGATAAAACATATTACTGTAACAGTGCGGAGGAAGTTTACCTGAGTTTCCAGCATGTGACGCTGTCTCCCAGTGTGTCTGTATATAGCGCTTTCACACTGCTTTATTTTCCGGGAGGAATGTGCCAATATGCTGGCTTGCTGCACTGTATGAAAGGTAATGTTACGGAGCCGAAAAGGGGGTCTGATCTGATCTGCCTCTGAGCCAGGAACATTGGAAGTAACAGAGCAGCTAGAGGAACATGTCTGGGAGGACAGCCACAGACGACATGCTGGTGTGTCTGCGTTTATTGTGTCATTTCTGAATGATTATGCTTGCTCATGAGTTCGAGCCGAGCATGCGTATGAGCACACACCTGGTTGCAGGTGTTGAAAACTACATATTACTACTTTAAAGAGGTCAGATCACCATTTGTGGCCTTATCACTTTCTTTTATTGGATATGTCTTTTTGTGCTTGTGTAACTGGCCTCAAGTTGTACTGCAAGGCCCTGACTCGAACCCGCAACCTCTGGTACGAGAAGCAGGCTCGCTAAAGAGGAGGCTAAAACTCATTGGTTGCTAGTGTGTCTCTTGAGGCGGCGGGGAGTGAGGTTTATACAGTGCACAGCCTCGCTGGCTACCGTATGTGATAGGGCGACTAGTCAGGCATGCCCTTAAAAACACTGGACGTCCGTTAGCTGCCTCCCTCACCCCTACCCTCCCTACCAAATGTTAGATATCCTCCAGGTAGTCAATGGACTTGTTACTGTGATGTACAGACAGTGCAGGGGTAAAACTTTATGTATGAAAGATACATTTGTTACTAATTAATAACTCACCACCCGAAGCTGTGGTTACCAGCTTATCAGGACCTGCCCTGCTCTGCTTCTGACTGGATAGCAGGAGTGGAAATGCCAAGGTGGCTGGTAGATGAAAAAATCCACTGTGTCACATATACACTTGTTTCCGTCCTTTTAATTGAGATAATAAATCAAATACAAATTTAAAGAAGAGGCCAGACTGAAATTTGAAGGAAAATTTAATTATTGCTATTAAATATAGGCTTAAGACATAAATCTAATCACCCCTAACTCTTCAACTTAAACCTCCTCGTCAGACTGTTCACTTTCTACAATCCCCCTCTTCTGGCCTCCTGGTTCTGACGGACTCAGTATTTTTTTATACAGCCTATGGATTATACTCTTGATCTCTGGGGAGGACAGCAGGGCCATTAGAAGATGTGACAGTGTGTTAGATACTGACTGGACCGCCAACTACCCAGCTAAAAGCTAAAAACACTCCTAGTACAACTTTGGTAATTAGCTCCTGACACTAGCTTTCACGCTGCCTTGTTTCACGGGGGTATTGCGCCAATATGCCAGCTTGCTGCACTTTATGAATAGGTATGGTCTGATTGTATCCGCTTCTAAGCATGGAAATTTGGTGACAGCCATGAGACAGAAAGATGGAACAATCTGTGAAAAGTCACAGCCAACATGCTGCTGCACTCCGCTGGTTCCTGTGAAGCCGGACCAATATGTGAAAGCACACATGATTGCAGTATAAAGGCCTTTTCACACGGGATAAAGCTGCAGAACTACTCAATGACACATCAAAACGGCTCCCCGACACATTTATGATGCATCGCAGACATCTGCCAGATATCTAGCATGCCAAATACCTGGAAGAGTCGGCCGACTCCACATCCACATCTAGCCAATGAGAGCAGGCAGCTGGCAGATCGGGCAAATACTTTTCACCGCAAAACACACTCTCCAGCTCTCTCTGTAGCTCGGACAATCCCTGCTATCTGTGTGTGTTAATCCATTCTTTTACCCATATTCTTTGTCTTTATAATTGCTATCTTCATAATAACAACATGCGTTTTCTTGACAGAATGTGGTTTGGAGACCTGCGTCGGGTAACAGAGCCGCTGTCAGCTCGAGTAGTGTGTGACCCGCTGTCACCGATCAGGCACGTAGTGTGAACGCCACAAAGACTTCAAGACGTAACGATAGTTACGTACTGTAACTCCAGATTCTATGAGTATAGGCACAGCCCTCTAAGGCTATTGCTATTGGGTTTACCCCTGCGCGCGCCTGCACGGCACTGAGCATAGTTGTCTACGCCCACCAACAGCGTGGGCCTCTCCTACGTCCGCATCTTGTATATATACAACGGTGAGACCCAGCCTTCGGCTCCCAAAATGCCTTTTCTTCAGCACTGAGAACCAAGGTCCAGTGAGGCCTTCAACTCAGAGGGCTGCCTATACTCATAGAATCTGGAGTTACAGTACGTAACTACCGTTTGTGTAGGCTTCGCCCTCTAAGGCTATCGCTATTGGGTTAGAGGCAAAGCAGGATGAGTCAACGCCTCATTGGCCCATACGGTCCCACCAAGCACAAAACCCACCTGCCACGAGCCATAAATGACCCATGTGTAACAGTCGGGGAACTGGATGGGTGGCCCAGCAGCTGTACAGAAGCAGAGCGAGGAGTGGCCGCTCCCCCCACCGTCCCGTGGGAGAGGGCGCACCGCACACTCACAAGGGAAAATCACTCAGCCAAAACACTCGGTACTGAGTGAGTCAGCGAGAAAGAGGAGACATCCCACAGGTAGAAACGGACGAAAGAGCACGGGGACGACCAGGGAGCCGCCATACAGATGTCGTCTATTGTCATCCCACCGTGCAACGCCACAGAGGATGAGACACATCTCGTGGAGTGCGCCCTGATGCCGTCCAGAGGGGACTCACCAGCTGACATATAGGCCTGTGAAATAGCCTCGTACAGCCAGTGAGACAGGCGCTGCGCCGACAGGGGAAGTCCCTTGGACTGCTCCCTGTAGTGCATAAACAGGCACTGTGAACGGCACCTGGCGGCCGTGCGCGCCAAGTAACAGGACAGTGCACCCACTGGGCAGAGGAGGTGGGATGTAGTGTCGTCCTCAGACCCATGGGGGGGAGGAAAGAAGCCCGAGAGAGTAATCACCCTCGACGGAAGGAGCTGGTGAAGCTCTTAGGCATGAATGCAGGACTGGGGCTTAGGACAGCCGAGCTGCCTTCATCCTTAATCCTGAGACACGACGGAGCCACAGAGACGGCAGCCAGATCGCTGACCCTCCTGGCCGATGTCAGAGCCACAAATAAGGCGACCTTGGCCGAAAGAAACTTCAGGTCCGCCGTCTCTAAGGCTCGAAAGGGGCTTGGATTAGCTTGGATTAGCGGCGTAAGACCAGCGCCAAATCCCACTGTGGAACAACAGGCCTGTGCCTCCGCGCTCCTTTCAGGAAAGGCTTCACCAGGGGGTGAGCGAACACCGTCCTGACACTAAAAACCCTCGTGACAGGACGAGATGGCGGCAGCATAGGTTTTAACCGTGCTGAACGGCAGACCCCTGTCCACGAGCAGCTGGAGAAACGAAAGCACCCCCGGCAGCAGATAGGCCACCGGTTCCAACAGAGCGTTGGAACACCGACCACTTGGAGGAGTAAGAGGACTGAGTACAGGCGGCTCTCGACCCCTGGATGGTGCAAACCACCTCACGGGAGAGACCTAGACCCTCCAGGCGCTGCTTCTCAGCAGCCGGACCCACAGGGGCTGTCCGAGAAGCGGAAAACTCCTGATCGCGCCCCCCGCCTGAGAGAGGGCATCCCCCCTCCAGGGGAGTTAGAAATTATATGCCGGGTAGCCCTCAAACATTTGGCCAACAAACGGAAAATCCACCCGTATTTGGCGGGTGGTGGGTGTTAATTTCCATCCCTGCTGACTAGTAGCCTAGTCCTTAACTGAGAGGTACTGTGCATGTGGAACTCCCAAAAAACGACTAAAGAATGCAAGATACGTCCATTTAAGGGGAAGGTTTAAGTAAGTAAAGGCTGGACTACAATCCGTGTTCAGGCAGTTCAGGGGCAGTGTTTTCTGTGGGAGATGGTAACTGGACTTTGGGCTTTTTCACTTTGCAAGCCTATTACATGCACAAAAAGATATATAACACAATAAAATAAAGGGGAAAAGGCCAAAAAGCACTGTAAAGTCTCACCCAAAGCGATAACATCTGTGTGAAACTAAGCTTGAATTGCATTTAGTTTGCCTCTGCTTCATCACTTTTCTCCGTCTGCTATCTGGTTCCTGTTGTTTAGAGATTAAGTTGAACCTTGTTAAACACGCAGTGAAATAGCCTGGATCCTACTGCTGCCAAATATGTCATTTATAAGTCTACTTAATCCCTGACCATGCAGCCAGAATTGGTTTGAGTAGTTGTTTTTATTGTTGTCTTTTTATGGATGAATAAAGCTGAGTTTCTGTTAAGGGTTTAGCTGTACCTGAATACTTAAAGTAATAGCCCAGACATGAAGTTCTTTGCCTTTTAAAGCTGAACAAAGGTTTTGTTGCTGTGTAACCATCTCTGAAATCTTTGTAATGAACTCCGGGCCCCTCCTCAACTACCACTACCTGTCATTTAACTGTAATTCCCATCAGCTGATCATGGTGGGAACTGACAGGACTGGAGACTTAGTTTACACTGTAAGAATTGTTAACTATGAATCCCACATTGTGCCCGCCTTTTTGTCAGTTCTGGAAGGCACAAGGGCATTTTTGCTGTTTTCTTATGAATTTGTCCATAAACAGCTTTTGCATGCAGAACGACAAGAACTGTCATGGCTCCTTTGTGGTACAGCTGGCTGGATTTGACCTGCCACTGACTTTTTGGCTTGTCATTTCAATTTCATCAGCAGTCCAGCTAGCTATGCAATAATGTACTGCTGGCAGTGGAAGCGATTTCTTCTTAATAAAAACTGTAGAACCTGTCGTAATCTGATCCCTTAACATCTTGCAGAGTTCAATCTGATGGAAAGTTGATCTGTGTAATAGTTCAAGCAACTAGCATCCAGGGAATTTGAAAGAGTGAGTTGAACTGATATCTCATTCAGGAAATATTTATTATTGGCTGTTCTTATTTGTAGAACTACAAAGTCAAAGACAACACGCGCAGCTGAATAGGAAAGGATGCTGCACGGACTAAATGTTATGGAAACACAACTCATCTTGAACCTGTGTAATAAATTAGTAAACTAGATTTAACAGCTTTTGCTTGCATCTCTGACCACACGGTTGGGACCTGCTTTTATGCTTTTTGCCACAGTGTGTGAGAGAATACGCCATGGCCAAGTTGGGTGTGACGTCAGCATGAAGCTGAAAATTAAAGGTGGCATGAATGCACACATAGTGAGTGGAAGTCGCAAACGCATGTGAACACAGTTTCAGTCGTGGTGAGATGAATTTAGGCAATGACTCTTGCGCTCAGGCTTGTTTTGTAGTTCTTCTGGCTCCGAGTGGCCAAAAATCCATGAATGCAGCTTTAAACAAACAATTTTTGATGTTTTTCTTATTTAAACAAAAATAAATATATATAAAAAAACTCATGTATGCAGATAAAATCCCCTTTAGCCTCAGAGCCTCTGAGTACATCTTACTGAGTTACTTGCTTTTTACTGAGCTTAAATGCACCAAATGTACCATGTCCACACAGTATATGGACCTTGTATGTGTGTCTTACCAAGTCCTTGATGCTGCCCAGGACTGCTGTGGTGAGGATGCCTGTGAAGAAGGCCACGAGGTTCAGGCCGGTGAGGGTCCAAATTAAAATGTACAGAGTGAAAACTTCCTCACAGCTTCGTACTCCAACAAACTCATAGTAGTTGCTGAGGTAGCCTCCACTGCAGAACAAAACAACAGCTCTGATCATTACCAATTATTTTTAATGTGTTAGACAATAATTAATGACAAGACAAAGTCTGGACGTTTGGTGACAATTAAGTAGGACATCTTAGCAGATAATGGCTGAGAGTTTGTTTAAATTTTGATGACATGGTAGTGGTAACAATATAGGCTACTGAGATAATATCGCAGGATAATAACGCATTGTCTCACTTGGCACAGTCGTACAGGTCGCAGCAGTAGCAGGTCCCACTTCGTACTGTCATGTTACAAGACTCATTTAGATTCCAACACGACACCTGGAATAGGAAACGCAAGTTGAAAATGTAGTCTCCTGAAAATACAGAAACAACACAAATGTAGCTGAAATAGAAAACTACCTCCAGAGATTTATCTCTCTAAGAGAAAATGAGGTTATATCTGACATAAATTCAAATTTAGCTGGACCTGACCAAGCTTGCCTTAATTGTAATTCAGATTGTGATAACGTGTCTGAATTACTCTCATATAAATATATTTTCACTGTATACCTGAGTTTATAAGTTTTACTCACAGAGGTGTAGAAATTCTCATAGATGTAGCCACTGCCACTGCTGTAATACTGGCATCTCCCTGCTTTCAGTGGACGTATGTCCTGGAAAATTAATATATGAAGAAAATATCATCCATGGGGTTTCATTGCAAAACAGCACCAATTCTTTATTCAGAACAGAAACAAAAAAAACAACATAATGTAAAAGATAATCATTCATTGCCGTGTGTGCAGTCTGTCTAAAACACATTTGAATTGAGTAAACAGTGTTGAGTTTGGAGTCTGTTTGTGATTAATTTCCAAAACTCATTCAGTTCACAAAATCTTGTTTAAGGTTATCATCGCTGGAATTAGTTACTCTGGTAAAATTCACAGCAATCATGGGTGCTGTTTTTGGTTTGTGTGCAACATTTTGAAATATTTTAGGAAATACAGCATATCAGACTTTGTCGGGGAAGGAACGATAAAGTCCTGGACACTGCTCATTAAGGCCTTTGAATATGACCTGAAAACCAATTCTAAAAGTTACATATAGCCAGTGCCGAGCCGCTAAAGCTGGACTGGTGTGCTCTCTCCTGTTGTTTCTTGTTAATAGTCGAGCTGCAGAGTTTTGAATGAGCTGAAGTCTCTCTGGGGTTTTTTCTGGAGGTCAGTGAAAAGTGCGTTACAGTATAGTAGACTAATGACTACTGTTATGATTCGTACATCATGATTGACAGTGGCCCTGTTAATGTGCGACAGCCACACATATTGTTGTTTTTTTCATTTTTGTGTCAGAGCATTTATTGATTCTTGTCAGGTGTAATGAGAATTTCGACAAATATAACAAAATCTGCTTCTGAAATAAACTGCCTACCCCAGCTTTAAATGTACATGTCTTTATTTTAGAGGTTGGAAACAGGAATGTAGCTTTGCTTTTCTTTTCTAAAGTTTTTTAGGGAGGCAGCTCTCGATTAGAGCAACATCAATTACATTTAGTAACTGTCTGAAGTGTCAGAAGTCATCCAAGTTATCAGATGTCTGGATGTATTAAGCCAAAGACAACTGGACGTCCTTCAGTACTTCTACACTGATGGTGCCTCTTTGTCGAGTCCAGTTTTTTTTCTCATGTTATGCTTTCGCTGGTGAATATTATAAAGACTGAGCTATAATTTGTGGGAACTCTTTTCATGGATTAAATTGTGTAAATACTGCCAACAGAGTGATGTTGGCACACACTGCAGGGCAAAGGCTGTCCAGGTGGATCACAGTCAACCAGCACAGTGGCGTATCATTTCTTTACAGTCTACTATTACTGTTTTGTTTCACGATCCAGTACCTCTGGTGTTACACATGCATGTGCAGGTAACTCACCATGTTTAAGACAACACAGACGGCATCAATCACAAGGCACGCAAAAGAGGCGATGATCCCAAAGCTGAGGAATACGATCGCAGCCGTCAGCTGGAGCAGGAATAAGCAAATAAGCATAAAATTTGAGAATTTACATATAAAATCTTAAAAGAACAGGTAATTTGATTTCAATGGGGGCAGTTTGACAAGAATGCAGATTATAGCAGAGAAAAGGGTTGCATGGCAATCACACAGCAGTTTTGAAACCACACTTATCGTATAATTGAATTTGTCTGAAAGGTGTGAAGCTATTTGGTTTCTTCACATGGCACACAGCTATAGAGCTTCATTAACTCTTAAACTGAAGAGAATCTTGTATTATTTATATATGTATGTGAATGTCAGCGGTGTACATATCATATCTTTAATAGTTTATTCATGAATAATTGTGAGAAGGTCCGATATATATACAAGCAGCTGTAGGTTACACTATGAAAGAAATTCTCTAAATGCCTGATATCAGTCTCAGAAATATCAAAAATAATCTTCTTTGTTTTAAATCATGACTCTTCAAAATCATATTTCTGCCTACAGAACAAAGCATAGTGTGCGTGTCTCTGTAAGTTCTAGCCACTGACTGTGCAGAGTTAGGAGTCTTAACAGACTCAGCATATCTTTTCTTCATTCCTACTCTTCATCAATTACAATCTCAGTTTGCCGCATCTTGGAAAAATGTCATCAGTGGTATAAATTGAAAATGAAAACTGAAAATTCCACTGTCAAACATTGGACGTTCTTATCACGAAACTTATCTCACAATTGAAATGAATACAAACACAGTACCAAATCCAAGCACAACTGGGTCTATCCAAGAACTCCAGGAATGTAAGCCTTGTCTGGAAATGCACTTTGTGAATAGGATGATCTTGTGTTTTTAATTTTCATGACATCCCAAAAAAAATTATGACAGAGGTGTGAGCGTGTATGTGTGTGAGATGAAGAGAGACAGGAAGATCAGAAGAATATACCAGCTGTTTGCGGTTTTCTTCCAGGTGGAGTCCCAGAAGTCCCAGGAACAATCCAAGGGTCAGCTGCAAAGAACATATAAGTGTTTGCAAAATATGGTTCATTATCATAAGAACCGTGACACATTATGATTTATTTCTCTTCCAAGGGAAAGAACTCAGCAAAATGAAGAATGGCAAGGCCATGTTAGCACACAGCTATGAAAAGAGCTCTTGTCGTACAATTTTAAAAGCATACAGCATGTTTTATGTTACATACTGTTGCAAAAGGTGGTTGAAGGATATAAAATAAATCATTCAGTCATCAATTTCACAGCCTTAAATTATGTCTGTCTCAAACGAAGAGGACCTTTGGCCCGAGCTGTGAAATGAATGCTTCATAATGGATATCACATGCTGGAGGATGTTTGATATGTTTTTCAAATCCCCTGCTGATTTCATGGAGGCTGCAAACTTAAAACCCATTAAAACATTTTCAAGTATTTTCAAGTAGTGTTTTTAATCATATCAATCTGTCATCTCGCTTTGTTTCCCACTGAATAAATTATGACGTGGAATAATCGAGGGAACTTACGATAACTCCAGAGATGTAGCCAGTCACATTCAGGCTCTCTGTTCGGGTCGTTGAGTAGACTCCCAGCACCACTAACAGCAGGGACAGACTGAGCATGCCCAGTATCAGCCACAGAGATCTCCTGACCCTCACCATCATCTCTGCAACCCACAGCAGAAAGAGTCATGTTATATGTTATGTGGTACAGTGCTGCATTTTTCTATGCTTCACTTTGAGGTCAGCAAAACAAACCTAATTTAAACTGATTTAATTTCATTTTCCTTAATTTAATTGTAAAAACAAGATCAAAACCCCATGTCTCCATCTTGTTCAGTATCAAATGTCATGAATGGTTACAACTCAGTATATTAAAGTGGTGGATTTATTCAATTGCGCCTGCATATTCAGTGTAACTAACACACAAACCTTAGCTTTACACAAATAAACTTAAACTTAAATTACACCAACAAGAAAATATTCCTTCCGAAGTCCCTTCTTTGGTACTCTTTGTGGTGGACTACAGTAAATGATTGTATTCATTAGATGCCCTTCAAGTAGAGCTGTGGGTAAACAACAAAAAAAAACCATATTCATCCTGGTTTAAATATTTTTGACAATGACAAAACAAGGTCCATCAAAACCGTAGTATTTTTCCCCTTCTTCTACATTTTTTACATTCCACCAGTGCAAGGGCGTCACTTTTTTTTCTGTACCAGGTTATGGTGGAAATGTTTTTATCTATGTAAAACAAAACACAAAATTCAGGTAGCATGTGACATCTCAAAATATATAATATAATATAAAGTCATTGCAGCTCTCCGGCATTCTGTGTTGCTTTCAGTTCTGTTTCTACTGTCACACGTAGCATGATTTAGTCTTCCATTCTCTTTTGTCATGTTCAAAGGGAAAGAACGAAAAACTTGGCCATAAAGAAATTGTGTCAAGAATTTGTTAAATTTACTGATTAGTGCTGCATGTTTTTGGGTTGTTTTATAATCAGTAGCTTGTTTGTCTTAGCTTAAGTTACTTTTTTTGGACAATGTACATTTGTTTTTGTTGTTCTTAATGTGCAAATAAACCTTTTTAAAGGCATTTTTATTTGTTATGTAACTGCAAGCTATATTTCAGAATGATTTTTAACAAATTTATGCTTTAAAAAAGTGGTGGGGACAAAATCAGCCATTTGTTGGGGACATGTCCCCAGCGCCCCAGTGTAAATGACACCTATGCACCAGCGTTATTTGTCTTGACTATAGAAGGAAAAAGCCCCACACACAGCGGACATAAACTCCACCAGCTCAAAGCTATATGATCCTAATGACCACTGATACTCTGTACCTACACTGGATGTTTTTATTGTTTCTTTCTTGCTGTAATTAAAGACAACAATCATTATTCCCTCTGTGTGTGTAAAATGTACCTCTAAGTGTTAATAACTTATTTTCTTTAAAGTGTAAACTGAACCCTAACCCTTTTAGAAGAACAAAATAGTATACTACTCCATGTGGAGGAATACTGTACAAATATTATAGTAATACTGAAAAATGAAATTAAGTACAATATGACCACTATTTACTCAATATTGAATACCAAAGACATACATTGGTCACATTAAAGGGATGACCCAGATGTGACCCTCTAACTGACAGCATGCAGTCCTCTGATTATTATGTTTCTATAGCAAATTGAAGCCAACACTCTCATTAGGCTGTAACACCATCAAGGCTAAACGTTTTATCCAGCAGTCTGAGAGGCAGACATATATGGAAAAAGTAATGTCAGACTAACTGAACTAAAAGTGTATGTACATTTCTATTAGTTTGTAAGTTTAAAAATTGTTTTATACAATGTATAATAGAATATAAAAATAATTTCAGCCTAATTAGGAGTAATTAGTCTCTTTATGATAATTACACTAAAAGAAGATTGAAAATAAGGTCATGAGCAATAAGAGTAATATAGTAATTCATTTAAAATATATGTTAATGCAGCTGTTCCTGTCTCATGGTGAGACCATCATCTCCACTCCCAGTAAATTACCTGTTGCTCGGCTCTTTGGCACTGGTTTGTCCTGGCCCGTCGCTCCCTGGATCCTTGCAGTCATGATAGATCCGATCCTTTCAAATACAGATTTCCTTCTGACGGCTTCCAAGTCTGGGACCAGTTCAGGTTTCAGTTCAGGCTTGCACAAACCTTCTCCCAAAGCTCTGTGAGTCCTGAGTATCACAGGCATCTGCTGCATGGATGATGGTCTGGTCTCTGAGTCATGAGTGCGTAAATGCTCCAGCCTCTGCTGCATTCAAGGACGGTCAGAAACGTGTGGGTCTACTGCTGTCAAAACACTCCTTACAATTAAGGTTAAACAATAGCAAGCGTTCTTTGCAAAAACTAAACATATCGTTAAGGTTGTAAATCAAGCAACACCACTTGCGGGTTTAATCTGTTGCTGCAGCAGAATGAGAAGGAGAACATGAGCATGTTATGTGGGATGTGCTGTATTTGAACACAACATCTCCAGATGTTCATCAGGGGGAGTTTACATGTAGGCATGGCTGGAACTTAATCTCCTATGGAGTTCAGGGATTAAGATGAGCTTCTGGGCCCCTCTTAACCCCATGTTCATGCGCTCTCTAGGAAATGTTTACAGTTTTTCTATGATCCAACTTGCTCCCATATGTGGCAGTTTAATTTATTTAATTTAACACACTGATTTGGGACTATACAACATGTAAGCAGTGAAATAATGAAGTTCCAGGGCCTCAATAATTGGCACTAAAGCACCAGCAATGTTAAAGGCCTTAATGGTAGATGATGCTGTGTTTTCTGGTTGTTGTGTTGTGGAGCCTCAGGACAGTTGCCTGCCAGATGGCAATCAAGCCTTGTCTGTATGACTAAATGGTGTGCAACAGGAAGCAAACATTATACTGACAAATTCTTGCACAATATGTGTGATGACTAGTTAGAGATAATAAGTGCTACAATAAACTTGTAGCACTTACTTTTCCTCTTGTGCTGTTTGCTGTACAATTTATATTAATTGTTGTATGTAAATATAATTTGAAAGCAGAAGTACAGATAATGTTATAACTGATGTTTTTCTTCTGGTTTTGTTTTATTGTTACATGCATGCATGTTATATATTTTGGTGTTTGATATATAGTGGTGTCTTGTAATCACATGTGAGATGGGCCAAATGTTTGACATGTCATGAAAATAAAAGATAGTCTAGTCTAAAAGAAGTCTAGCTAAACAATGAGCAAAAACACAACATCATACTAATCAACAGTATATCCTTCTAATGACTCTGTTTCACTGAGTAGACTGCACTCATTACATCAGGTTACACCGACAGGCATATGACTTTTCCTTACTCTGATTGCTTGCACTTATAGTCATGATGGCTACGATACTGCCTCATTGCTTCGCTCTTGTCGTTTTTCAATTCTGCACAAACAGATGAAGAAACATAAAATTTTGTGTAAACTGTCCTCAGAGCGGAACAGATTTTTTTCAATGACTCATTTGTTTAATTAACGATAATGTAGCCTCTGGAAGACCCCTAATTTATACGCACTAATAACATTTTTCTTTTCTTTGTGACCACCCAATCATCATGGTAATCAAGCAAATCCCAACAGCCAGCTGGACATGGTTACAAGAAACTCTATTTAGAGCTGTGCAATAAATAAATCATTTTTATGGAGCACAACAGACAGGTTGACATATTGAGATAAGAGGAGAAAGCTCTACTTTGCCTGGTTCGTACATCTCACGCGTCCAGGGATTTGAAGATGTGGTCATGACAAGGCCAGTCAGCAGGATCATCAAGCCAAGCTCAAATTTCATGGATGTTTTTTTAAATATTTTAAAAGTCATTGAAGAGGAGAAGGTGAATGGATTTTTTTTTTTTACTTTCCCCTGGTGTTAGTATTGATGTATTAAATATAATCATCTTTTACATCTTGTCTGGTATTAATGAGCTGCCTGAAATCTTCCTGAAGGAGCAGTACCTCCCAAACCTGTTACAGTATTGAGCTTACTCTGATTCTATGTCTGATCTTCAGAGGGAGGGCTGCACATTGATTGATTGATCATATATATTGGAGTTCAATGTGATGAACTGTTGAAGATGCACTTATAACAGATATAACACACATGCATCTCCAGACTACCTCTTACTTCTTAACACACATTCATTTTAACTGCATGCCATCATAAAGACATGTAAATGTTCTCCACTGTGAGGTGGATTTTAGAAGACATATTGCTTTATTGGAAATGTAATGCTGAGCCAATAAAAATCATGAAAATTTGAATTACTAAATCTTTAAAATATCAACAAAACGTGAATAATGCAGACAGAAAAAAAATCATAAACCGAATAAATGAGAGTTTCATACCTTTCCACTTGGTTATTTAAAGGTCCATTAAATTATGTTTTTAGGTTATTCAAGAATAATCTAATGCTAGGATGCTCCTGATTGGCTTACAGAGCTCCATTAAAAAAATTTGATCAAGACACCTTAAATATGGTTTAACAGTTCATGATACTGTTGAATGTCAAACTGTGTAGTTTAATGAGGGGCATCTGTTAACAGCTGAATTTACTACTTTACCGTCACTCGCACACTGACATGTTTGTTCTAATGACAGCTTATTTTCCTGGTTAAGTTGGTCACAGTTTCCGTTGCAACTCAGAGTAATCTAATGTTTTGAAAGGAGAGGTTGACCTCTTTGGCTCCACACTTGACTGGAACATTTCTTCAAAATGTCTGCATAAAGTTGTTTTCACTTGCACCAGTGTTCGGTATCAGGCTGGCTTATTTTTACTGTACAAATGTTACAATCCTGTTCAGGTCTGCAGATCCTATCATGTACGACATCCACACCTCTGACAGTTAAAAAAATAACAAAGTCCACTACTATATAATGGCAGGTTAAACCTTAAATGAAAAATATTTGAACAACAAAGAAATGAGCAAAATAATTACACATCTGTGAAACATTCAAAGACAATGTAAAGGAGAATTTAACCTGATTGACGGCAAGTGATTGGTACATACTGAACTTGAAAATTATTTGTTTAACACTTGTCTATGAAATAATAGGCTACTAGCTTCCCCAGATCCCACAGACATAATGAAATTAGGGCACTGTTCGCCTGGAGTGTGTATTTTAACAAGTGTATTATGGTTATTACAGACTTCAAATCCAAGAAAACACACACCAGGCGAACAGTATTCTCCTGGCATGAAGCTGATGGCTCATTGCAGAGGGGCGAGGACCTCTAGTGGGCCTTTATAAAGTGGTACTTTCATTGTTGTGAAAAACAGCAAGGGAAACAGCAACACAGGCTGCAAGCTTTAAAAACTCCCAAAGAAACTCAAAGTGGCAGAGACCCTATTTAGGGGGTATAAGGGGGGTAGAATCAACAACACCACAAATAGGCCACAATTAGGCTGCATTAGACGAGAAATTCGACATTGACGGGGGCTCTTCTCTGCAGAAGACACAGATGTGGACTGAGTCTGACTTTTTCTTTTTTGCCATACTCAAGACACACAAAAAAAACTTTATTCAAAATAACCAACAAAACAACATACAAGTTCAGTCAGGCAGACTGGGCCAAAGTCACATTAGCCATCTTTACAAAGATTTACGCCAATTCACCATTAACAGTAATGTATAATGTAAATAACATTACAGGTTGTTAGTATTATGTTGTTACATTTGACGTATTAGTTACCATTTCTTTTGATGTGATTGCTCAGTTGTGCTGGGCTCAAACATTCCTGTGATTCATTTAAAAAGCATAACTCACCTCATGAACAGTCATACTGTACTTGAATGCAGATTATTAGACTTATGTATGAAAGGACCATTTTTGGAATATACTACAGCAAATATTTTTACAGCATTAATTACCTCGATAGTGTAACTTGTTGAACCAGCATGATGGACGACCTGCTGTGGTCTGCTCACTGACGATAAGGAATCTGGTGCAGAGTTGCTAGAAAACATAATTAGTACTTTCTCACTTTTGTTTACAACCACAAAATCTCCAAGAGGATTTACATGTGCACTTTTCCTTATATTGACTGATTGTTCAACCCCAATAGCTTGAAATGATTATAAACAGCTTTGAACAACATAAGCGGAAGATTTGCATTGTTATCTATGTCAAAGTTTGATTTTGTTTTTGGATTCTTTTGTATGTTTTGTTTTTTCTAATGTAATCCATTAATTAGTGCTTCCTGGTAATTTTTGTAGATGTGTAAGGATTGTGGATGTGAATATATTGGCTTGTGTGTGCTGACATGTGTGTTTGGGCCTCAGGGTGGCAGGAAGGAGCTTTATCAAACATCTTTAAAATGAAATATACAGTGTAAACATTCATGCTGAAGAGAAAGAAAAAATCTAACCATTCAGGAACTTTAATTTTGCAAATAATCATTAGTAAACATTGTACAATTACAAAACACAGACGTTTTCACACAGCCTGTGTTCATTGTGCTACCTGCTGTTCCTCGGTCAGTTCCTCTGAAGAGTGTGGAGGTAGAGCTGGAGGTGAGGGACGATGTGTGGGGGGCCCCTGGTGGCTGTGGGGTCCTCAGATGCTGCTTATAGCAGAGGTTTTAAAAGTGGGAGACAAGCCTCCTAAGGGGGGCTCCAAACTGTTTCAGGGGAGGCTCAGTGAATGTAAGAAATAATGGATAAAAAAAATAAAAATATAGGCCTACATTAGTTACTTTATTATTTGTTATCAAAGAGAGAGCTTAGAATAGCCTAAATGTGTGTAAATCAGTTAAAGAGATTTCCCCACAGTCAGAAAGTAATAATGGAAACTAACAGGCCTTTATTAACGTAATTTAACAATAACGCTAAATTAAACTCATTCTCAACAACAGAAAAATGGAACAGATGGCTGATTGGACAGTTTGGTTCAGGATAAATAAGACAATATAAAACTGTACTTTCAGAGTCATCCTGACATATGAAATAAATTGATAATCAAGTTGTTAGTTAACCTAATTGACTCTCCAGCTAGACACTAGTGACTGTACTTGCCACCTGATTGAAAAACTGCCAAGTCACTATGATTCATAACGCTGCTCCTTATTGGAAATTGGGAGAAAAAATTCTGGGAAGGCTAAGCCAGGTTCTCATAGGCTATACATTTTCTCTCCCTCTCCGTCTGTTTCTGTGTTTCCTTTGTCCTTGGTACAGCCAAAATTGTTATTCTCCTCGTCCCCCTGGACTTAACCCGCCTGAGGTCATAACACCATCTGTCAAACTGTTGCCTCATTTCACTTTAATGCACTTTTCTGAGAGCTATAAAAGAGAAAAATGGTGCCGTCTGGAGACATGTTTAAGTTATGATGCAAATACTTTGGCTG